TTCATCGCTTAACTAATCGTTTCATTAATTAATTTCATCGTTTAACTAATCATTTCATTAATTAATTTCATCGCTTAACTAATCGTTTCATTAATTAATTTCATCGTTTAACTAATCATTTCATTAATTAATTTCATCGTTTAACCAATCGTTTCATTAATTGATTTGAGTTTTTGAAATCATTTATCACAATTCAAATAAATTATTTTATTTCATAATTCATATTTCGCTTGCAAATGAATTGTTACATTTCATGTTATCTTAATGTGGAAATATGCTAATTAAGGAAAATTAATAAATTGATAAATTTTACTCAATCATTCATTTCTTATTTTCTGCATTCATTTTGCATTAGTTCTAATTTAATTTCATACCTTTATTGGGAATAAATTTTAGCGTACTTACTGTTTTGATTGATAATCTTCGGTCTGAATAAAAAATAAAATAAAATTTTTCATATTTTAACTAATATCCCAAGATTTTATTGTTACTGATAACATAACAGAAAAGAAAATAATTCATTTTAACAATAAAATTTTGCCTTGAAGTTAGTAAGTAACAATTTCAGTTCTATCATTAATTCAGTATTATTTCATTTAACTAAAAAATAAATTCCATCCAATTTTGTTATTTATTAAAAATATTAGCTAAGATTGTCTTACTATTTTATATTCATTAATTAATTCCAGTTAAAAATGTCACAGTTCTAAAATCTTAACAATGTCAACGAAATCGTATATATAATCTTAGCAAAATGATAATAAAATAAGTTGATCACATTTGCATTTGTATAAAATCATACCAATGATTTAGAAATATTTTTTTGCCCACGAGAAATATTCTCGAGATTTATTGATTCCCTAAAAATGACATAATTTGTTCCAAATTATTGTATTACTCTTAAAAGCATTCATCATTTATGAGACATTTTCAATCGAATTTTATTAATTTTCATTTTTTTAAATTAATAATATTGGATTTATTGTGTATTTAAAAAGTTGAAATGATCGAAATGACAATATATTTCAATTCAAAATTGAGTTATAATTAGTTCTTTTTTTTTTTGTTTTTTTCTATAGCATTTTCTTTCTTCTTAAATCATTTCAGTTTTCCTTAAATTAAAACACTACCATCAATGACATTTAGCATTTTGAGTCATTTCGAGTACTTCAATTAGATATAAGGCGATAGGAGTTCTAGTAGTTTCGATTACAATTAAGATTTTCTAGATATGATGGAGGATGCTGGGAAGAAAGACAAAAGTATCATATGGTGTTGATAAGAAAATTTGGTTATATTTCCTATTCCTGAAACTCAATCCGGATTTGTCATCCAATTAAGCTGAAAAACTGAATAATGATTGAATATATTCTCTAATATTTAAACGAAATGGTTTAACAAAAACAAAAAACAATTTTGAAAAGAGCTATAAAAACTGATTTAGGTTAATTCTTTTTTTTTTCTTTGTGTCAAATGATTTAAACTTGGCCTTTTTTTTCCTTACGATGATTAGACTTAGTGAAATTTCACCTAAAAACCTAAAGGAATCCTTTAAAATGAAAAATGAAAACTCAAACCAAAGTTATTAAATTGGTATTGCTCAAACGAGATAGAAATATTTAAATTAGTGAAACTTGGCATTAGTCCTGATTAATTTGCAACAAATATTTGTTTAAGAAAATAAAGACAAAAACATTTTGTCTACATAATGAAGAAAAATGCCATAAATTAATTAAGCCATATTAGCCTGACAAAAATTAGCCAAATTAGAAAAATGATAATATTTACCATACCTCTTTTTCTTTTTTTCCTGAATCAACTCCTTATCTTCCAGTTTATCTTGATTTGTCATCTATAAATAGCCAAAAATGTTAACTGTATAAGAATTAAATTCAATTTTAAATTTGATTAAAAATATGACAAAATATGAAACTTTCACATTGTCATCCAGTTTTGTCGTCTTTCCATTTCTATTTCTTCCATTGTCACATTGAATTTGTCGCTCTTTTTCTTTGTATTTTGTTTTTTTATCCAAAATTTGTTTAGGTAAATCATTTTCAGCATTCTGTGATTCTGTTAATTCCACAGAACATTTAATGTTGCTATTCTAAACATGCAAATTTGCTAATGAATATTTTTCAATCTTAATAATTTTTAAAAAAAATACTACAAATTTAAGTCTAATTAAAATTAATGAAAATGACGTAATGAATGATGAAAAATTCATCGATAAAAAATGATAAAAATTTTAATTAATAAAAATTTCAATAAAAAAAAATTTTCAAATAAGGAAATATAACAAATATTCAAATTTATTTCATTCATTGTGATTCTCAGGAAAACATTGAAATTTAAGTTTAATTAAAATTATGAAAGGTGAGTAAGGATAGAGCTTGAAACAAAAAAAGGGAAAAAAATAAGGAAGAAATGGAGAAAATTTTCACTTTGAATCATTTACAACTTTAGGAGCATTTTATTGAATTTTAAAAAGTATCATTTACAAAGCTAATAATAGAAATTAAATTCAATTTAATATTCAATATTGAATTTTAAAAAGTATCATTTGCAAAGTTAATAATAGAAATTAAATTCAATTTGATATTTAATTTATTTGTAAATTTTATTTTTAATTTCCAATAAAGAAATACCAAATCAAGTGAAGAAGAACGAAAGCTTGATGATTCAGAAAGTTGCATCGGTTTTTGATATCTTTGATAATTTCTCAATTTTTCACCTAATTTTTTGAAAAATGCTGCTGTCACTTGCCTGTAAGATTTAATTGAAATTATGATAAGTATGCTTTTTAAGTGAACGAAGTGAATGATAAGTGGACAATAAATGAACAAAGTTGAAAAAGTGACATTTTTTTTCTTCCGCTTTTTATCCATTCTATTCTATATAGCAATTAACTGGAAAGGCTACGCGGAATACGTACGTTCATACGTTGAATACGTAACTACGTGGAATACGTACGTTTTACCTTGCCGGTCCTCTATAGATTCGGAACTTGTCATTGTAATTCGTCACTTTTTTTATTTCTACACTTCTTAGCAATGATTGTTTCTGATCATTTATCCACATTTCAACATGTATTTATCTGTTACGGAAAGAATCATTTCGTGTAAAAATTTAATTAAATATGCAAATTTTTCAAAGATAAATTTACGATAGCATTTTTATAAAGATATCAGTACTGAAAATGACCGTTCATATATTTTTTGATAATTCAAGAATTGGTCAAGTAATTGTTTTTCGTTTTTTTTTTTTAATGCCATGAGATGATGCAGATGGAACGTTTTCAAACATTTGATGCAAACAGTTTTCATCTTCGACCGGATCCGGAATTACCATATGAATACGTCTTTGTTCATTCTAGCAGTGTATCCACTACAGTTGTAATGTTATGTTAAAGAAAAAACTTGAAATTTTAACATCTCCAAGCATGAATTAATATGATTTTAATTAAGATTTTTTACAAATTAATCCCTCATATAGCTTAATAAAAAAAAAGATTAGAATTTTTGAATTATTTAATCAGGAATAAGTCAAGATTAAGTTCAAAGTTCAAGTTACAATAATTTCATATCATTTAATTACTGTATCGTAATTCACTCAAAAAACACATACATATTGATAGCATGTATGGTTAAATTTAAATGGTATCAACATGATAATAAGATGTTTAAAATTGTGAATTTTTAATTTTAAACTTCAATTTACTTGAATTAAATCAAGCAGCAAACTTCATTTCAATAAAAAATTCATTTGATTTATTACATTTAATAAAATATTCACTGATTTTTTATTAACAATTGATATTTTAATTCTTTCTCATTAATTTCTCGCCTAAAATTGTTTTTTTTCGGGCAAATTTTTTGAGCAAACGTCGATGACGTCTCAATTTCTGATACCGAACGTACGTGGGATCTGATTCCGATAATGTGTAAAAATTGCCATCTGATGGTTCGACTTCATCCGGAATATATACTTCTGGCTCTTTAAAATCATACGGCTTTCCTGGTGGTCCAACTGATTCACCAAGCGATTCACCATAGATATAGGGAGTACGCTGAGGACAAGAACAATATTCAGAGTCAATACCCGGTCTTCCTGGTTCACCGGGCTAAAAATATCATTTAATTATTGGTTTCAAAAATTATCTAATTGATATAGTGACAATTATCTTTGTCAAATCATCACGAAAGCTATAAACTGAATGGAATAATATCTCAACCTCTCCTGGTACTCCATCTTGTCCCGGATATCCTGGTACACCGGGAGGTCCTCGCTTCCCTGCTGGACCTATATTTCCTTTTAGTCCTGGTTCACCTTTTTTGCCAGGTAAACCAACTGGACCTTGAGGTCCAGGCGGTCCTTTTGGTCCTGGTCTACCGAACATTACCAATATCGATTTACCCATTTCTCCAGGTGGTCCAACTGGTCCAGGTGGACCTGAATATACTATTTTATTTTTCAAATGAATTTATACATACATCAGTTTCAAATCTGTATGACTTACCAGGTGGACCTTGCTCACCGATTGGACCCTGTTGTCCAGGCAAGCCAGGATTTCCATCAGGTCCCGGTTTGCCCGGCATTCCTGGTGGTCCTTCTGCACCAATTGGTCCCGGGTCTCCTGGTGGTCCTTCAGGTCCTGGTGGACATTCGATGCACGTTTTATATTCAAATGGCTCTGATTCATACAAAATATCTATACCGTTTAATCCAGGTTTACCTGGTAGACCATGTTCTCCATCAACTGTAGATATAAAATACAGTGAAAAATCAATATAAATCATTATTCTTATTTGGATCAATCAACTATTTCAATATTATTTTTTGGAACAAAAAAAAAGAAAAATTTCTTTTCATTTTTTTCTAAATTTTTAATTTTTATATTTTTGAGTAATATCAAATTTATCCACTAACAATAAAACTATCTCATAATATAAAGTTGTTTTTAATCAACAAATAAACAAACAAACTTACTTCCTGGATAGCCAGGTATTCCAGGTGGACCTTGTGGACCAGATGGACAAGTATTTGGTTGTGGTGCACATGCTGCAAGAAATGTTATCATCAAAGAAATTTATCCTTTCTAGTCCTTTCTAGAAATGAAAATTTAAATTTTCAAATTAAATTTAAAAATTAGCCGATTATTTACCACATTGTGGTTGTAAATTATCATTATTATCATATGCTTGTCGTTGAATTCGTTTCGATCTAAACATTTGAAATAATGTTAATTTTGAGGTGCTATCCATATAACTTCTATTTTTTAATCTTTGATATTTCATTATCTCCAACCAAGCATCATTCGTTATCATCTGAAATTGATCAATTTACCATTAACACATATCAGTATTAAATCAATTATAATTAATTAAATGAAATAATGAAATTTTCTGTTACTGAAAAAAAAAGAAATTACTTTTTTTTTCCTTTCATAGAATTTATTAATAAAGAACAATAATGAAATACTGATATAAAATATTGCTTTTCAGTGAAAATGAATGTTGTAAATTCAATATACAATATCAGAATGATAATAGGATAATCGTTGAAGATATTAACATTTCAGTTAAATTCTTCCTCCTATATTTAATATTCATTTTGAAGTAATTAATTATATTCACTTAAAAATATGCATTAAAAAAAAGAAAAAAGAAAAACTCTGCCAAATGATAGCATTAGCTTTTTTTTAGACTAAAAATTTTAATACCTTAAATTCTTCCATACCATCGAGTATTTCATAATATAAATTATTAATATCCTGAAATAGCATCGCACATGTCACCAATGATATGACAATTGCTAAAAGACTTACAGTTGATAGTGCATAAATCCAAAAATATAATGTTTTCATAATACTGAAATTATTTTATGTTAGAAGGTTAAAATTTGTTGAAAATTTTTATCGAATAACGATTAAAATTACTTTTTTTTTTTTACTGAATATAATAAAAAAAAAAGAAAAAAGCAAAAAATATACGAGTTGGAAGTGTTTTTTAGTTTATTAAAAATTTTAACAATGAAAATAAACAATTGAAATTAATTATTTAAATTTCAAAAACAAAATTCGAAATGTATAAGTATATGTTATAACTATTAAAATTATTAAAGCATATTATCGTTATCATAAAAATGGTTCATTATCACATGATTACTGATATATCAACAATAATTCTGTTCATTTATTTAATTTAATGATTAAATTAATGGAGAATGAAGTGATATTTAAATGATTAAAACATTCTTTGATGGAATTATTTATCCTTCTCATCAATTTATAAGTTTTATTATTCGACCAATTTTTTTTCTTTTTTCAACTTGATTAATGGTACAAATTACTTTTGAATTTGAATAGTTTCAAGTAAATTTTAAAATGATTCTAAAATTTAGACGTGTATTGTACAATTATTTAAATCATTTTATCCATTACCGTATTTAAAATATCAATTCGATGGAAATTTTTTGTTACAAAATAATTAAACTAATATTACTTCAAATTAAACATTTATAAATTATTTATCGTTGTGTAATTAAATTTCTAAATATTTCTAATTATTAGCTATACTTATTTGTTGCAATAATCTTAATGGAATTATAATAAAATTTTATACAATCTTTTCAATATTAAATTTAAATTTCAATTTTCAGATAGTAATTTTGAAGAAAATCGGATAAGATTAAGAATGCATCGCTTATACGATAATTTAACTTAATCATTTAGATTTAAAAAAAAATAAATGGACAAATTAAATGTATTTATTGTAATTTAATTTTGTGGAGAGGATAAAGTACGATAGATTTTTCGGCAAAAAATGAAACTTTTCATATTTATCAATGGATTACTTTGTCTGTTTCAATTGTATAATTCAACTAAATGACATATGTAATTTTATATTTGAATTATTTCCAAATAATTTCCATTTCCAATTTCTATTCTTAATTCCTATTTGTTAGGTTAAAAGGGCTCATTTGTTAAATATCAAAGAAAATCATACTTCTTTTCGTTGTTGTCTCTTCTATTTCAATCCCAAAAAACGGAATAAAAATCAATCTTCTCTCTCTCTCTCTTTCTCCCTCTCTCTCTTTCTCCCTTTACAAATGCATACACTTTGTACATTTGAACAATCACTGCTAAATTATTACTCTATGATGAAATAAACCGAAAAGTCATCGAAATCCATAAAACATTCCGGAAACTTATTACAAGCATTTTGCGCCAATAATTTTATTTAAATGAAGGAATTGAATTCCGGATAAGTTTCGTTGGATAAGATTAAAGCACATTGTAAAAGCATTATGAATTAAAAATTAGTTAATTCTCAAAGAGCTATTCCGCTGTTAAATGCCAAATTTCCGGTTTACCGGAATAATGACACAGGTTTGTAAATAGTTCATGAAAAAATTACGATAGTGATACACATTTCACAAAGATGAGAAACCAGAATAATTAGCCATTAAGCCTGAAGCAATTTGTCATCTATATGTCATTGTCGCATTTGATTGTCACATTTCTTGAGATTTATCATTGATAAGGTTACTCAGCAATTGTATTCAAATTTTTATTAATGTTATGAAGTAGAGAATGTTATATAGAAGACAAAAGAATGATTGTTGTCATGTGAGTAATGAAAAATCTGAGAAGAAAATAGGAGAAAAAAATAAAACGATGAATATATAAAGAAAAAAAAAAAGGAACAGGAAAAGAATACTTGAAATTTCCGGATAACTGGAAATTTTTCCGGATCTCTCCCGTGTCAAATATGTAATCATCTATTTGCATAATGTTTTCGTTTCACAACTTTTTTTTTTTTTTTTTTTGTGCAAAACTTTTAATTTCCATTTCAGAGAATGTTTTAATAAGAAGAGGGTGAAAAAAGGGGAAAGAGAGAGAGGGAGAGAGAGGAAGAAAAAACTTCTTTTGATGGATATATATTAAAATGAAATCTAGGAAATTGGAAATTTCCAATAACAAAACTATTTTTTAATTCATATTTTGTATGACCCTTTTCCGCTTCCGAGCACAATTCCGCCTTTGCAAAAATTAACAATGAACAAATTTGTCTTTTTTTTTTAAATTTTACAAAAACAAAATTAACAAAAAAAAAAACAGAGAGATGAGGAATAAAGTCACACACTAATTAAAGAAATTTGAAATGAAGAAAAGAGTTTTGATGCTGAAAAAGATTAAATCTTAAATACATGATTAATTAATTCGATATAATTTCTTCATGCATCTAAGCGCAAATATCATTCTCTTCTTCAATATTAAACAATAATAATTTGTTCTTTTAATTTATTCCAGTTTTTATCTTTTCATTTTCGATAATTTATTTGATAAAATAAATGATGCTATTTGCGCCATAAATATATTTTCATTTCTACAATTTTTTTTTTTTAGATCACTCAATTTATATTATTGGTTAATTATTGATTGGATTCTGAGTATGATTGTGATTCTGAATACGGATTGTAAGCGTAAGAAGGAATGAAAGAATTAGATTCATTGAATGGAATAATGTTTTGTTAAGATGTAACAGAAGCTAATAGAATGTGATATGATATACGACATGTGATATGATATGATATACGACATGAGATATTTTTGAAAAAGTTTAAGAATAAGACTTGTTATGAGTTACAATAAGTAGTTCTTAATGCTAATAATTAATTTTGAATTATTAGATTAGATGAAATTGATTATTTATTAGTCTAAATTATTACAATCTTATTTGGAATTGTCACTCTCTGGATTCAATGCCATGATAAGTAATATTGTTCAAATTGGAATTGTCATCTTACAATATTTTTCTTCGGAACAATGTAATGGTGATAATTTCAGTGATAAGCGTTATCCATTTACATAATCATGTGAAAAACGACGATTTTGATAAGTTGAAATATTTGAAATCAATTCGTTGCCATCAAATTCTAATATTTTTTCAAAATTAATTATTTTTAAAATTTTTTTTTGAAAAAAATTTTTTAAAATTTCCAATTTTATCAATCAAAGTAAAAAGCAAAAGATAATAAATTAATAAATGAAACTAGTTTTTATAAAGATTTATCACTGTTAAACTTGTTTCAATGCCATGTTAAGTAACATTGATTAAACTGATAAGAGCATTAAATCCTAGCAATTCCATCTCATAAATATTACGATATTACGACGCATTAATTTATTGTCATTTTAACATCCATCATTTATTAAGCGGAAGGATTAAATAGAAATAAATGATTGACTAAGAAATTGCATTACTAACATTCATAGAAATTAATTATTCAAAATCAAGAATTGAATTATTATCAGTTTTTTTTCATCTGTTTATAATTTCAAATTTTACAACGATCTTTTTTGTTTTATTATATTTGCAATGATTTGCTCATCCATCTTTGATTTCTTCGTTGTTCTTTTTTTTTCAATATTTTTCTATATTAAGTTAAAAAATAGATAATGAATTAGACCTAAAAAAAATTAAATCCTAAAATTAAACTTGTTAATTAAGCTTACCAAAAATATTGCACTATTCAAATCAAAAATAAATTGATCTGAAGATAAGGGAATAATTTTCATGTTGATTTATCAATATTTAAAAAATTTTTATGTTTGTTTAAAAGTTTCGGAACTCGAAAATCTTTCACCATATTTGAAAAATGAAATAATCAGTGTCACAGTGTCACCGTAATATTCCAATCTGTTCAATTATATGAGGATATTGAATTAATCATTTCACTTGCATCTATCACAATCAATATAAAATGCTTCAAATTTTAATGGAATTGCTCAATTAAATTTGATTTAATTGGTTGAGATTTAAAAAATAAACAAAAAAAAATTTTTTTTTCATTCGAAATGATCAATGGTAAAAGGATGAAGAGAGAGAGAGAGAGAGAGAGAGAAGAAAAAAACCTGTCCTTCTATGTTCAATTCCATTTCAGAAATTTCACAGAAACCTTTCTACCTTTGATTTTTTACTAATACTCGATGGTAAAAAAAAAAATAGTTCATTATGTTCCATCCTATTATTCATGTTTGAAATTTACCAAAATTGAAATTGAAATTAATTTTTACTGAAAAAAAATGAAAATTAATTCATTAAACAATGAATGATATACCTTTTTTAAATATTTCCTTCACAAAATGGATATCATATCTTGATATGATATTTGAGCAGCTAATTATCATTCACCAATTATAGTAGCTAATTATCAATTCGAGTAACTAATTACCATTAATTATGATATGATAAGAGACTGATGATTTCATTAATCGGAAATAAAGAAAAAATATTAATGAATTAATGATAATTAGCTATTCAAATTCCTAATCATTGCATAATCTATTTTTACGTGTATAATATATGATTGAAGTAAATATTAAATTAGGAGAAGAGGACATTTTGACGTGTTACGTGTAGCATATAACGTATGACGTGTGATGTGAATAAAGTAATTGTTGAAAATGATAACTTTCACGTATTTTTGAAGAAATTTTCAATCTCTCCCTATTATCTTATACAATTGTAAATGAAAAAAATGAAAAAAATGTTATAGCATAATTGAATTTATATGTTTGTAAAAAAAATATATTCATACATTTTGATGTCCATAATTTACATATTACTAGATAAGTAATCTCGGGTATCTCGAGATTACTTATCTAGTAATATGTAAATTCAGATATCTCGGGACTAAAAGTAAATCAATCAATCGATGCAAGAAAATCATATTGAAGTGGTAAATCAAGAGTTCTCAAAGAAAAAAAAAAATTAGAAATGTTATCATTCAATTGATGTGATTGTAATTTATTCAACGATCAAATTTCCGACAAATTGTATCAAATTATCAAATTTTAATTTCCAATTTTTTAACTTTTAATTCTTGTACGATATATGTATGTCTTAATGAAATTTTATTGATATGCTATATGAGAAATCAAAAATAGAAATGAAAATGTTATCCACTAAATGAATAAATGTTTACGTATGTTCAGTTTATACTTTCCGGAAAATAGCCGTGCTCACCGCTGAGCACGGCTATTTTCCGGAAAGTATAAACTGAAAATGGCCAACATACAGTGGAAAGAATGAAGGATGAGCTTAAGGTTCATCCAAGATTTTTTGGCATGGTTGCAGAAAACGTCGGTGCTGGTGCTTCCTGTTTCCTGTAGCTATGGCAAAGCCGAACTAAATCTTATTTTTAGTGGAAGCTTTTCCTGAAAATATCACTAGGGCCTATTTTCAGGGAATGACTTATTTTCCAAAAAAAATAGGGTGAACACGTGATTTACGTCAAATAAACACGTGATTTGCGTTAAAATGTATAGTTTCATTTTACAAAGTAGCGTTAATATCGGAACATAAAATTTTTAATAATTTGTTTCATAAATTATTTCTACTCAAACATTCAACAGTGATCGGTGGTTATATTGTTGTAATCAAAGCTTGAAAATGTCACTATCATTTACCGAAAAAGTAATACTCGCATTTATCGCATTAAATCTAACAATTGTTCTGTTACTATACAGGTTATATGAATTTAATTCATTTTATTAATTAATTAAAAGGAATAGTAATAATCGAATAATTTAATTTCAATCTTTCAAAGTTCAATTTTAAATGTCTAAAATATTTCGCTTCTTTTTTTTTTAAATTGTCTACCAATTCAAAGGTAATTTATTGTATTTGAAGATAATACAATTTCGGTTAGAATTTTTCAAAGATATTAAAGATTTTATCACAAAAAAATAAAAGGTGTCAACCAAAGAATGAACTTGATAATTAACCAAGAATGAACTTGATAATTAC